TGGGGCGGGTGGCGAGACCTGCGGAGGGCTGTCTGTCTGCCGAGGACTGACAGAGTGGTGGGGGTTGGAAACCGCGGGAGGGAACACAATGCCACAGCTTGCTGGGGGTAGACAGATGTGCTTGTTCATGCACTGTCTTTCAGCCCCAGGGTTAAGCAACAACGTCTTAACCACCCCGAAAGAGCAGCTTGTTTGGACATTGTTGGCCTGTGAGTGGGGCTAGCAGGAGAGGGAGGGAGGGAGGGAAGGAAGAAAGGAGAGAGGCCAGCCTGTGGGCAGTGGTGGAGGGAGTGTGTTGTACGATGAGTGGCGAACCCCGGCTTGGTCAGAGCCCATGTCTCTGCCTTAGGCATGCTGGCCTGCTGCTCTGGACCTGCTTCTGTACAGTTCTGTCCCTGGAGAGATATGTCCAGCGAGGACCTGCATGTCTCTGTCGACACGGGGTCCCTGCCCTGGCTGAACCTCACCTTCCCCTCTGTGCCCCACAAGCTCTCAGGGCTCAGCTCTGACTCTGTGTCCCGTCCTTTGCAGGTGCTGATGGAGGTCGGTGGCCTGCCTGTGGAGCTGTGGCAGCTCATCTTATCCTACCTGTGCCTCCCTGACCTGGGCCGCTGCACCTTGGTCTGCAGGGCCTGGTACGAGCTCATCCTCAGCCTGGACAAAACGCGCTGGCGGCAGCTCTGCCTGGGCTGCCTCAAGCACAGACACCCCAACTGGCCCAACAAGCCCGGCGTGGAGCCGTGGTCCTGGAGAGAGGCCTTCAAACAGCACTACCTGGCCTCCAAAACCTGGACCAAAAACACACAGGACCTGGAGTCCTCCAACTGCCTCTCCCTCTTCCGGAGGAGGAAGGGCCAGCGCCGGCTCTGTGTCGGTGCAGGGGGTGAGTTCGGCAGCCTCCGGGCCGCCCTGGCCGCTGCCAGCCCCTATGACCGCATTGTGCTGCTGCCCGGTGTGCACGAGGAGCAGGGTGAGGTGCTGCTGAAGGTGCCCGTGGAGGTTGTGGGGCAGGGCAAGCTGGGGGACGTGGCGCTGCTGGCGAGCATCGATCAGCACTGCCCCACTGCCCGGCTCTGCAACATGGTCTTCATGCCAGCCCGCTTCACCTCGGTGCTCTACAAGGTGAGGCTCGGCGGAGTTGGGGGGGTGGGGATGGCGAGGCCGCCGAGGTGTCGCAACTGAGGGGGTTCCCAAGTCTGCGCGTGTCTGAAGGGCACGACCTGGGGTTTGTGGGACTCCCTGACTCATGGGGGCTCAGTGGCTTTGTCCTCTGAATGTCTCTACTTCATTACAGATCACCACAAATGCCACACAAATCGCCACTAGCAAGTCTGCCTTTGATTAATAAAGCAAATATGTATATATATCAGGCTATTACGAGTTACTATCAGCAATCAATAATACAGTATCAGTCAATAGTATGGCAGCAATCAGTAATAGAGACAATCAGTTGTATAACAACAACCAATATTGTACCAACAACCAGTAACAGCAACAAACAAGTAGGTATATAGTATTACAGCTTACTGCAAACTTATCACCAATACAACAGCAGATATGCTTATGATAGATTACTTATATGGTTATATAATATGCTATATGATTGATTGTCTCTATTACTGATTGCTGCCATACTATTGTCTGATACTGTATTATTGATTGCTGATAGTAACTTGTAATAGCTCCAGCTCTGGCAATGGGCACTGTGGCTACTCCAACTCCCGTAGCAGGCACTGCGGATGAAACAGAGAACCAACCCATGCTGGTATCAGTCGCCCCTATACACAAGAAGAAATACTGGAAGCAGAAGTCAGCTCATTTAGTAAGGGATGAAGAAGCTTCTTCTAAGAGGGGTCAGGAGGAAGAAGTGGACAAGGCAGACTGCTCCGAAGCAGGACCATCACAAGAACAGGAGGAAGAGAGGGGGCTGCTGCTTGGGGAAGAGGAAGAACTCATAAGGCAGTAACCACCTGATCCCTATCCCTGATTGAGCTGTGAGATATATGAAATGATTTCAGCCATTTTCCAGGCAAGCATATTGTCACCTGGCTGCTCCAGTGCTGAGATAATGGGGAACTAGAGGGTAGGGAAGCCAAGTAGTTGGGATCCTTTTCTAGGGAAGGGGGCATTGACAAAGCAATTGGAAAAGGGGCACAAGTCCTCAGCCTCTAGAGGCAACTTCCGTCAGGTGTGAATGAAAGGTATCCCTTCAAAGAAGATGTGGTATGTCACCCAGGCAAGTGGACGACTATGGAGAGAGCTGTCCAATACCTGAAGGAATTGGCTGTGCTGGAAGTCATTTATGATGACCTGGACAACAAGCAGCTATCCAAAGGTCCAGATGAAGTAAAGTGCAGGTGACCCATGTGGCGGAAGTTTGTACAGAGTACACCATCATCATATGCCAACTCATTGGCCGTAATGACCTCAAAAGATGGAGAGGGACAAATGGTGGATGAACTGCCTGGCCAACTCTGGCAATACAAAGTCTTTCTTCCTCCCTTGTCTCGTCTGTGGAGAAACTGGTCCAGCAACTCGAAGAGGGTAGATCCTACTCCCCACCTGTACAGACCAGTATCTCAGCCATTAGGAGTAAGCATTCCTCTGCTCAAGAGGGAGGGTATGGGGGGTACACACCATGAGCCACCCTGTGGTTTTACCTGTGTGACCATGGAGAGGACATGAGGAAGTGGGATGGAAAATACCTTGACCCTAGAGGCACAAATACATGAGTTACAAGGAAAAACAATCACAAAAGGGGGTTCTTCCAGGAAAATTGCTGCTCCAGTGTCCAGTGGGCAGTTCCCCAGGCAAAGTAGAAGGGCTGATCTTACTCCTGATCTTAATGAAGGGACTTCTGATTTGTACTTACAAGAAGTGAGTGGTGAATACTATGACTGGCACTAGAGGGGCCCTGCCTCCAGCCAGGTGGAGGAAAGGGACAACCGGGTTTACTGGACTGTGTGGATTCGATGGCCTGGCACATCGGACCCACAGGAGTATAAGGCTCTAGTGGACACTGGTGCACAGTGTACCCTAATGCCATCAAGCTATAGAGGGGCAGAACCCATCTGTATTTCTGGAGTGATGGGGGGATCCCAACAGCTAACTGTACTGGAGGCTGAAGTGAGCCTAACTGGGAATGAGTGGCAAAAGCACACCGTCGTGACTGGTCCAGAGGTTCTGTGCATCCTTGGCATAGACGACCTCAGCAAGAGGGTATTTCAAGGACCCAAAAGGGTACTGGTGGGCTTTTGGTATAGCTGCCTTGGAGACAGAGGAAATTAAACAGCTGCCCACCTTGCCCGGTCTCTCGAAGGACCCTTCTGTTGTGGGGTTGCTGAGAGTCAAAGAACAACAGTGCTGATTGCTACCACAACAGTGCACTGGTGGCAATATCGCACTGAGACTCTCATCCATAAGCTGATTCGTCAACTGGAGAGCCAAGGAGTGATCAGCAAGACTTGCTCACCCTTTAACAGTCCCATATGGCCAGTGCGAAAGTCTAATGGAGAATGGAGACTAACAGTGGACTATCGTGGCCTGAATGAAGTTATGCCACTGCTGAGCGCTGCCATGCTGGACATGCTAGAACTTCAATACGAACTGGAGTCAAAGGCAGCCAAATGGAATGCTACAAGTGATATTGCTAACGTGTTCTACTCAATCCCTTCGGCAGCAGAGTGCAGGCCACAGTTTGCTTTCACTTGGAGGGGCATCCAGTACGCTTGGAATCAACTGCCCCAGGGGTGGAAACACAGTCCTACCATTTGCCATGGACTGATCTAGATGGCACTGGAACAGGGTGAAGCTCTGGAACATCTGCAGTATATTGATGACATCATTGTGTGGGGCAATACAGCAGAATCATAGACATTTTTGAGAAAGAAAATAGTCCAAATCCTTCGAGGCCAGTTTTGCCATAAAACAAAGTAAGGTCAAGGGACCTACACAGGAGATCCAGTTTTTAGGAATAAAATGGCAAGATGGACAGTGTCAGATCCCAATGGATGTGATCAACAAAATAACAGCTATGTCCCCACCAACTAGCAAAAAGGAAACACAAGCTTTCTTATATGTTGTGGGTTTTTGGAGAATGCATATTCCAAATTGCAGTCGGGTCATAAGCCCTCTCTGTCAAGTGACCTGGAAGAAGAACGATTTCAAATGGGGCCCTGAGCAACAACAAGCCTTTGAACAAATTAAACAGGAGATAGTTCATGCAGTAGCCCTTGGGCCAGTCCAGGCAGGACAAGATGTAAATATGTGCTCTACCCCGCAGCTGGGGAGAATGTCCCTACTGGAGCCTCTGGCAGAAAGCACCAGGGGAGGCTTGAGGTCAACTCCTAGGATTTTGGAGTTGGGGATACAGAGGATATGGGGTTTTATTAATGGTTAAATGATCATCAAATGATAATTAATTGATGATTGAATAATAATTAAATTGTAATCAAATGGTGATTAAGCAATAATTGAATGGTAATGAAACACTGATTTAACAATGATTTAACTGATGATTTAAAGTATAATTTAGACAGTGGTCAAACACTCTACTACTTACTACTCTTCTAATACTTAAGCTACAGCTGTATATATATATAAAAATGTCGCTAGCATACAATATACCTTTAGGCCTAATGTCCCTTACCTCATTGTAGATATCAGATGTCAGCTAAAAGGTGTCTCAGCCTTGAGGAGTAGCCTTGAGAGCTGTCCCTGCTCAAGGGAGATCCCCACCGTGCAGCCTGCTACTGCACAGGAGAGCTCAATGGGCTTGGTGGGCTACAAATATTTATAACATAAAGTGATGGACTCGTAGTCAACCCCCTCCTTTGGTGTTTGTGCAGGTGCACAGCTGTAGCTGTTTTAGTTTTGTCTAGTCCCAGGTTGGCTGGCACTGTTAGCTCCTGATAAGACATGACGAGAGGAAATGGGCTTAAGCTGCGCCAGGGGAGGTTTAGGTTGGAAATTAGGAAAAATTTCTTTACGGAAAGGGTGGTCAAGAATTGGAACAGGCTGCCCAGAGAGGTGTTGGAGTCCCCATCCCTGGAAGTGTTCAAAAAACGTGTAGACGTGGCACTTCAGGACATGGTTTAGTCTAGTCTACCCTTGATTGGTTTAGAGTAGACTTGGTAGTGTAGGTTAATGGTTGGACTGGATGATCTTAAAGGTCTTTTCCAACCTAAACGATTCTATGATGCTATGATTCTATGATTCTATGATGTAGACTCCTTAATCCCTGAGAAGGTCTAGCCTGCCACCATTCTCATGGTTTGCACAGCAGGGCTGACTTCAGTCAGGGCTACTTGTTGGTGATGCCTGAACCAAGGCACTGTTTAGTCGGTCAGAGTGGGGGCATCCGTCACACCATCCCAAGGGGCACCCAACTGCCCCAGAGGTGGGAGGGCAAACCGAACTAATCCCAAAAGTGGGGCCAAAGGGGGAGCAGCGAGGTAACAGAGTCTCACATCAAAAATGCTCCATGTCATAGTCTGACGTCAGCCAGGCATCCCTGGCCAGGGTCTGACATCTCATTGCAGGTTTGTGCAGAGAGTTCAGCCCGTTTAGGAAAGGAAAAGTACATGCAGGACAGGATGTTCTCAGAGAGAGAGGCTCCATTTTGGACAAAAATTAAGTCTGTTTTAAGAGGGTGTAGCACACCACCACTTTGGGCAACCAATAGATGCTGTTAATTTCCATTCTTCACCTGGAACAGCCAATAGGTGATGATATTTTGTTCTTTCAGAGCAATTTTATTTTTCTAGACTGTTCCCACTTTTTGAGATGGTAAGTTGCCATTACAGTCCCTTGTTTTTTGCATTTATTGGTGGTATGTCAGGATGCCTCTGGTTTCTCAGTACCCAGATGCACCTCAGAGATGCAGCTGTGCTTCTCAAGGATGTTTCTGGCTCCCGGCTCCCAAGCTGCCAGGTGTTTTCCTTTGTTCAGTGATTTCCCCCTTCTTACCAGCTGCCTTTCTGACTGCCCACAGTGAGTTGAGCGACCCGAGAGGCTGGGCATGCAAGAGGCACCCCTGGGAGCTGGCACTCCCCACGGTGCACCCTGCACCAGCTCCACTGCCCCAAAAAACAGTTGCCGTGATGTGTGGTCTGCCCTCAGCCTGCGCTGGGAGCCCTCAGCCGGGATGCCCAGGGTTGTCTCCAGACCTAAGCCAGGACACGGGATCATGGGCCCAGCCCCACTGCTGTGGTCCACCCCAACCACACTTTGGTCCCCAAGGAAAACTGCTGACTGGTCCAGAGTGGGATGTGCCCAGTGCAAATGCTGCGCCTGTGGGCTATGCCTCCAAAAACAAGACCTTCCTCATGATGAGTCAGCCCATCATTAGTTATAATTTACAATTTCATTTCCTTTTCACCATTTTATCATGTGACATATTTAACTTAATCAGTCTGAAAGTCCCCAGGAGAAAGATAATTCACTGGCATGTGGTGGGAAAACTGAGTTGCAAATCTGCTGAGAAAGTCCCTCTTTGTGGCCACATGCTGGGTTGCTGAAGTGGACACGTGGTGTCTCCTGCATTTGGCTGGTCAGCATGGCTGCATTTTGCCTTTCAGGCTGTTGCTCTGGTCTCTGCATACAGCGGGGTGATAGTACAGCCCTTCAGCTGCTGTCAGTGGAACGAGAGCGTTTCCTCCCAAATCCATCAATGAAAAACAAATTAAAAAAGCAAACTTACGCCAATCCTACTGGCAGTCATTAAAACCCTGCAAGTTGCAATTTCAGAAGGGCTTTCACAAGCAGCCTCTCAGAAGCTGATTTGATTGTGTCCGTTTTAATTAGCTTTTTTTAATTAAAAACAGGGAAGGTATGATTCAGTCTGGAGCAGGCTAGTGGTCTGAAAGGGTTTCTGTGAGGTTGTCTTTGGGTACAAAGAAATGCATTTCAAAACCTGTTTGTAGTATGACCACTTCTGAGAGTGCTCAAGGCTGAAAACAAATGTTGCGACGGTGTGTTGGCTGCAAGCTCCAGAAGTCTCTGTAAAATTGCTCCGGCTCACCTGTCACAAGCTATTGATCTGTCTGCTTTGATCTGTGGTGCACTAGGCAATCGAGGGATAACCTGGGAAGAGAAAATACTGATTTAGGAGATTCCTAGTCAAATTAGGAGCACAGTGAAATTCCAAGCAGACTACTTGGCTTTTCTGACCTGGCCCCTCTGTATCTTGTTGCGTTTCTGTTGGCCTTTTCTGTAAATAAGCAGAGACTTGCCCTGCATGTGCAGGAGAGAGATACTTGGCCATGCACGATCATCCTGGTGGTTTGCCAGCACCCATAAATTGCTACATGCATTGCCTAGCAAAGCAAGAAGTCCATGGTAGGGATGGCTCACAGTTCTGCAAGTACCAGCAAGTCAGATGGGAATCCACAGCCAGGGAGCAAGGAATTGATGGTGTCTCCCCTACCGTAGTGTCACAATGTAATGCCTGTGCAGCATTATGGCACAATTTTTTACCTGTTTTGCTTTATGCTTGACACATCGTGGGTGCAGCATCCTTCCACCAAGTATGCTAACAGCTCCAGAGAAAATTGTAGCTCTCCAGGCCAACCAGGTGATGTTTGATGTTGTCCTGCCTGCTGCTTCACCCAGTAAACCTCTGAGTCCATTAACAATGCCAGCTGGCAGATACACATCTCTGAAGGCTACAAACTCTTCTCTGTAGGGAGCGTTGCTAAGTTTAGTGATCTTGGCACATCTAGGCTCACTCTGCTCCCGCACATGACTGCTGGGCCTTGCTGAGACTGCAAAGCTGTATCTTGGCAGGGAAGTTAAGGAAATGTTGCTAGCAGGGAAAAAGTCAGTAGGTGTCACTTGTTGCAAGATACTTGCTAACTTAGCTTGCGGCACTGCATCTGTGCCTATGTGAGCTTGTTGCATCTGTGACACCTGAATGCATTATCGTGTTTGTGAGCATGAGCTTGTTTGCTGTGGAAGGACTTCACGGTATTTTCAGGACTGCTTTTTCTTGCTTTGTGCAATGATCTCACCTTGTGCTTGCTCTCCAGACAACCTCAGGCTACGTCCAGTTCGACAATTGCAACTTTGAAAGTGGGCAGCTGCAGATCCACGCTCCAGGCACGTGCCAGGTGAAGTTCTGCACCTTCAGACAGTCCAGCATCCACCTCCGCAGCGTGGCCCTCTGTGTCCTGGAGAACTGTGAGTTCACCGGCAGTGAGAATGCCTCTGTGACTGTGGAAGGCTGCCCAAGCTCTGACCGTAACTGGGCCTGCAAGCACCTGGCTGTGCTGGCCAAGTCATGTGCAGCGTCCATGCAGGAGCCCGATGCAGCCGGCTGCCCCGTGGCCAAGCAGGATGGCTGGGGGGAATCGCTGCTGGGGCCAGTGAGAACATGTGAGATTGTTGTAGGGGAAGAACAAAGCAGCTTCCTCTCTGCTGCGGGTGCTCAAGCCCTGCTTGGCTCAGCCCAGGAGGATATTGAATTCAGAGAGAACCTGCCTGCAGTAAAGGAGGAGGAATCAGCCCTCGACTCAAATTCTAGTGACAGTGACTCACACAGTGACGATGAAGAGGATGCTCAGGCTGCATACAAACTGCCATACCAAGCCCACAGCCTGAGTCACACGCTTGCTGATGTTACACACAGCAGACTTCAAAGTAACAGACTGCATGCCCTTCAGAGGGACCTTAAGCTCAAGTCTCTGCAGCAGGAGCTGCAGCAGGACAAGGAGGCCCAGTCTTTGGCCAACTCTCTGCAAGGCTGCATCATCCGACAGTGCCTTTTCAGGGACGGGAAGGGAGGAATATTCATTTATTCACGAGGGCAAGCAAAACTGGAAGAAAGCATCTTCAGGGATCTGACCTATGCAGTGCGCTGCATACAAAACAGTAAGGTGCTGTGAATACTGCTGCGAACACTCTTCCCTCTCTCTCCTGCTCCACCAGCTCCTTTCCTATGCATAGCTTGGGTTAACCAGCCCAAATGAAAGTCAGGTCACTTGCAGCCACCTGGTTTCTGCATGCAGTAACATCGTAATTGCAACTGGAGGCGTTAACTTGGTGGTATGTTGGGGTCATGTAGTGAGGCCCGCTCTACCTGTAAATGAAATTCTCACCCTGTAAAAGTGCTGCTGGTTATCATCACCTTTGCTGCTCCCGGAACAGCCCATACCACAGACGCAGGGACTTGGGGACTGTGGTGTCAAACCCTGGTCTTGCCCCTCACCATGGCCAGTCCTGACTGCTTTAGGAGAGCCTGCAGGGGTGGGTGCCAGTCGCAGGCAGAGATGAGGTGTAAGGAGGGATTTTGGCCAGGGACATGTGCTGGAGGCTGAACTGAGGTTTTCCCTCAGCACAGCAGCATCTAACCCTGCGCTCGCCCAGAGCTCTCTGCCTCTGTGCCTGTGCTCCTCTTCAGACAGGACAGTGGCAGCAAGGACCGGGGGGAGAATCACACTGCCAAAATCCCCAGTGCTGGTGGTACTGGGGAGGCTCAGGAGGCCCCTCTCCAGCCACCAGCCCAGAGCAAGACCATCCCCACCACTTGCTTGGGGCAGCCCAGGATTTGGGCCCATTTTTCAGTCTATCGCTTTTGAAAGACTGCAAATAAAAGTTTTGTGCAGGGAGAGGAAGGGGGATGCTTTTCTACCTGGTTCTGGGAAAGGCCTTTGGTGTGATGGTGCTAGCTTCCCATCTGCAGTCCCCACAGAAAGGACTGCAGAGCGCTGTTGCCTGTGCCCTGCAGAAATGCTTTGCTTCTTGGCAGTGAAGCACAGCTCCTTTCTTTCCAAGGGATACCTGTACCAGAGGTGCCCTCCCAAAGACCTCCCCACGGACACAGAGCGGTGGCAGGAGGGAGCAGAGGCACCTCATGCAGCTCTGCTGTGCTGCTCGGGTCCTCTGAGCTTCTCAGGGGCTGTTTTCATGAGAGTTAGGCTGGCAATAAATGGAGGTCCAGCAGTTTGGACCATGTTCTGTTTTTATTCCCCTTGGTTTGCTTCCAGTTCGCTCAGCAGCCTGGTTTTCACTGGTAGCACGTGGGAGGGAGATGAGGCCAGCCCAGCTGCTGCTCTCAGTGAGAATTTGGTCAGCTAGGAATTAGCCCAGAGGGTCTTGTCAAGAGGTGGATGTTAGAGCATCAGGCAATGGGTGACAGTGAAATGCTTGGCTGTGAGATGGGGTCAAGGTGCAACGTGAAGTGGGAGCACGACAGATCTGGCAAGGGCTTGGTGTCCTAGCACAGCCAGGACTCTCTGGCACAGGGTCTGGACCAGGGTCTGGTGTGTGGAACCCAGCTGGAGCAGGTGCCTGCGATTCTCGCCTCCTGTAGCTCCCTCCCCAGGCAGCCAAGCATGACTGATGAAGACAGGCGGCCGTCAAGCCCTGCTGAGCTCCCATTTAGTTGAGAGATTGAATGAAGCACCTTTCTGGAATGAGCAAATGAAAGGAAGTATAATTTAATTACCTTCTGATCTGTGTTGCTCATTAAAGTGGGATATGCAAAGGCAATTTGTAGATTATTTCTTAGCACTCGTAAGACATGGATTTAAGACATGATTTTGTATGGCTGGAAAATATTAAAGATTGCTGCTGCGTAAATATTTAACTACTTATTTGTGTACAGGAAACTAGGTTGCTAGGAGTGGTGTCAGTGATTTCATTTTGGTGGCTGGGCCATTTCTGCCCCCAAATGGCAGGATCTTTGCTCTGAAGGTGCAAGGCGATGGACAGGTCACATGCTGAGCATGTGTGCTGTAGTGCACTGGCCCAGTCAGCTTTATTGGATACTGATAGGAGGCTCCATGGCATTTGACATGTCGCCTCTGAGCAGCTCTGTGCAGCAGGGAGTCAGGAGGCAGCCTGTTGCTGACTGTGTAGAGACAGGATGCCAATGCAAATGGGGACTGCCTGAGCTGGGAGGAGGCAGGTCTGTTGTACCACAACCAGTGTGGAGATGAGATAGGGAATGGTCACTCGCTGTTGCTGACGGTGTGCAAGCGCAATGCAGTGAATGAAGCCATTGGTCACACCTGAACACGAGCTTTGTCAAGTGGAGGAACATGCCAGGCCAAGAGGATATCTTTCCTCTGGCTGTGCAGCACCAAGCACTGTGGGTCCCCATCCCCAAGCAGACCCATGCCAGTGGGTAGTGTCCAAGAGGCTTAACCATAGCACTTGTCCGCCTGCACTGATCTTCCTTTTAGCTGGTCTGTGTGCCTGGGACACCCTGGGTTGCAGGAGAGGCAGAGAGGTTGTAGATGCACAGAGGTTGCAGAAGGGAGTGATATACCCTTTGGTCATGTCCTCTTCCTCATCCTTCTAACTACAATTACAAGTGCTTCTCCTCTTCCCTGCAGGTTATCATGCTGAGGAATGACATTCACCATTGCAAAGCATCGGGGATATTCCTGCGCCTGTCGGCAGGAGGCCTGATTGCAGACAACAACATCCATTCAAACTGTGAGGCTGGAGTGGACATTCGTAAGGGAGCCAACCCCCTTGTTCTGGTATGTACCCCTCCAAGCCATGCTGGAGGGCAGTGCAGTCTGTCTCTCATGCGCTGTTTCTCTCCGAGGGGCAGCAATGATGCATATCCCAGTATAGAAAACACTGATCTTTCTGTTAGCTTTGTCCTTCAGACTGTTTCTTAGGTTTTTGTTGTTGAATTAGACTACAACTAACCCCAAGGGCAAGGCCCAGAGAAGTGCTGCCTGATGATACATGCATGCTTTCCTGCTCTATTTGATGGTATGTGTCTTAAAATTGCTGCACGTAGAGAGGAGGGCAGGTGGATGTTCCCCTATCAAACAGTGTAATGAGTGAACTTGTGCAAGCAAAGTATCAAATTGGCACTGTACTGTAAATTGTTTCTCCCACACTGGGAATCGTGTTGTCTACCCTGGGAGTTGGTGGAGGGTCTCAGCTCTCTGCTCAGCCTCAGGCAGGGCAGCAGCCGCCTACTCTCTAGCAGCATGGCTTTTCCTCCAAATCAGTAGTGTCTCCAGCTGTTCAGCGGGTGATCTTGTCCCTGTTTACTGAACGCTGTATCTGTAGTTATCTTTGGAGGAACTGGGGCCTCACTGTGTGGGGAGAGGCAGAAAGGTAGATACAAACTACCATCTGAATGACCCTGTGGCTGCATCGAGCTCTTCATGTGAGCTCTGCACAGGAGATGGAGCAGGCAGAGCTGTGGCCCCATGGAAGAGGAGGTGGCAGCTCAGCCATGGAGCCGCGGGCTGTGTCTGGCCTCAGTTGCAGCTTTGAGCTGCTGTTTGTTGCTTTGCCTTGTTTGACAATTCCTACCCTGCCACTCTGTGAGATACCAGGCTGGGACTACTGTCCTGCTCAGGGGGTCCCAGCGTACTCCTGTCCTCATGGGAAATGCTGGCCCCTGTCATGGAGAGAAACAGCTGTGTGGCTGTTGACAGCGGTCATTCAGGATGTGCAAAGCGCTGTGCAGCAGCTTGAGAAAAGGTATCATGCTGTAATGCCAAGCCCCCTGCTTGGACTTCTGCTTCCAGCTCCTGTGGGGTACCACCAAGGGTCTTTTCCTCTTGGTGGCTGTGGGGAAGTGTTGGACTTGCAGCCCCACCAGCCTGGCCCAGTGTCAGATGGGCTGTGGGGAATGAAGCATCACTGGGTCCAGGGCAGCCCTTCGAGATGGCAGCAGGAGCTGCTGGAGGAAGAAGAGGCTGCAGGCATGATGGGAAGGGAAATTTGGCATTGTGTACTAGAAACCCAAAGAAAGGTAAAAGTTAAGTGTGCTTTGACTGTTTGAGAGTGATTTCTTGGCAGCTAGATTAATTACCCTTCTGCCCTTTTCCCCTGCAGGGTTGGGAGCTGTTGCTTTTCTCTGTGGTTGCTGTCTCCTCTTGCTCACTTTTATGAGTGACCTTCCTTCCTTTTGCTTTTATTCTCTCTACATGTGCAAAAATAAAACCGTAGTGCAATAAGATACACAGTGGCCTTCGCTCAGGCATTGTCGTCGTTGGCAACGGAAAAGGCATCATCCGTAGCAATCAGATCTATGGGAATAAAGAAGCTGGCATTTATATTCTGTATAATGGAAACCCTGCTGTGAGGTATGTCAGCTAGCACTGACCTCTCCCTCTCCTCCTTCGTCTGTTAAGAATTATTCCTCCCACTGTGTACTTTTGTTCTCTTTTTTTCTATCCCCACCGTAGAGCAGAAATATGACCATAGTGCACTAGTGCCTTTCTGTGACTTCCCTCTATCTGCCTGCTGCACCCAGGTCTTTGCCAAGTGCCAGTCTGGGTTTTCCCCCTGGATCTGAGGATGACAGAGGATGTATTCAAGATGAACAACTCACACATGTCATGGTGCTTTTTGCAGGAAAGGGAGTAATGGACCTCG